ATAATCAAAAATAATTAAAATAAAACAAATCAAATCAAATAAAATATAAAAACACATATATAAAATAAAATAAATAAATAAATATAAATAAATAAAATATAATTTTAAAGTCATAACTATAAATAAATATAGTTATATATAATCGTAAATATAAATCTAAATATAGTAATAAATAAATGAAACTTACCCAATATCCAATACTTTAGTATCTGCTTCTTGTAATAAATCGTGAACGGGAGAAGAAAAATTATTTCCCCAAACATGTTTATACATAAAATGTTGCATTTGACCTCTATCAATTTCATCTTCATCAACTGGATAAATATAATTTACGTGGTCTAAACTATTATTACAATGCTTTCTATCTCCAATATATTCATATATATCGAAATCCATCGAACGACATGGTGAAAAGAAACTTTCTTGTGACGATGCAGGTGATGGACATTGTTGTTGATTAATATTATCAGACGATCTTTTGAATGAAGAATTGGATTCTTGAGATGTAGTAGAACTAGCATTAGATTTTTGACGTGAACGTTTTGATTTTTTGGAAGGAGATGTGGGAGATGGAGGATAACGAATGGATTTGGAGTTTACTTTGCCCATTTTTTTTTATTAATATTATAATTTAAAATTATTTTGTTGAGTAATTTTTCGTTTTTTTTTTTTTTTTTTTTATTTGTTTCGATCAACGAAAAATTATTTTAAATTTTTGAAATGCAATAGATATTTATATATAATTTTTTTTTTTTTATAAATTCTAATATATCACAAAGTACTAAATTATAAAAAATTAAATGATTTTTTTTTTTTTTGAAATTGGGGTTTGTTATAATAAAATAACTAATAACAATATTTATAATTATTAATCTAGGATTTTCAAAAGAGAAAAAAATCTAATGTAATGAAAGCAAAACGAAATCTACTATTTATATAGAGTTATAAAATTGAAGAAGAAAAAAAAAGAATAAAGAAAAGTAAATGAAAATAATTGGTTGAAATTAAGAGAATTAATTATAATTCAATTATTCCGAATTTATCACCTTTTTAAAATTAAAATATTTCTTTGTTTTCTAAAACAGGGATATACACAGTACAGAAATATTATAAAAATATATAACAGCATTACTATATATTCGTATATCTTTTTTATTTAAGTGATGATTATTATCACATTATATATATCTTTGTTTTTAATAATGGAAAAAAAAAAATTCTCGGATTATGTCTCCGACAATCTTTTCTTAGACTTTATAATGTTAATATGCGTATTAATTTATATTAATTTATATTAATTTATATTAATTTATATAATCTTAACACTCATTATCGAACCATTAAAAAAATCATTTTGATTAGAAATCCAGTAATAAAAATTTCATTCTTTGTTAAATTTTTGGTTCTTGTTGTTTCTGGATTATTATAGGATACACATTCCATTCCGGTATTAAAGTGAATCATTATAAATATATTATTAATCAACGATCGCACGTTCAATATCATAATACACATGTACATTATGTATGCGCCAATATATTATTTACTTTAGTTACTGCAGATATGTTGATAAACTATTTAACGTTTTTTTTAATTATTTCATTCCCATTTTATTTATTTTATTTAAAAAAAAAAAATGTTTAATAAAAATTTTTTTATTTTTTTTTTCTTATCGTTTAAGGGAACGGCTAATGACTGCGATTGATTGACGTTTAATTTAATTGATTGATGATGATTATTATATTATTATTAATTTTATTATTATTATTATTTTAATTTAATTATTATTATTATTGATTTTATTATTGTCAATATTATTAATTTAATTATTATTATTATTAATTTAATTGTTATCACTTCAACTGACAAAAAAAAAAAGGTGATGAGATAATATAGAATTTCTTTATAGTTTTGAATTATTATTTTTTTTTTTTTGTTGTAGTATTATTTTTCCTGTTGTCCAAATTTGTAGTATAGCAAATAATAAACCATTTGTCTTGGGGCGTACTTTGCGATACAAACATTCAATTTTCTAAAAAAAATATCTTTTCTTCCTATAACTAATTAATGTTTAGTATTAATTAATGATTAGTACTAATAAATAATTTAACTTATTAAATTAACTTGTTAACTACTAATTAACTTATTATACTATATACTGAACTAACTATACTTGGCAATCTGGTTAATACTTCAAAAACCACGATAATGGATTATCAATTATGTAATTATATTTTATTTTACCGATCATTCCTTATTTTGGTAATCTTATGAATGTCTTAATTAATGTATAAAAACTAATAATATAAGTTTATAATTTATG